TCGAGTGAGAGCTCTAATGGCAACATGGACGGACGAGTGAGTCCTCTATCAGCTCGGTGTACGCGTATCTGCTACTGTATACCCCCGATCTAATACCGACACGACTGCGAGCTCGATAGCTCAATGGTTAAGGCGTTCGTCTCTGACCGGAGAGATGCGAGTTCGAAACTCGAGTGTGGCAGCAATTTCAGCAGCAACACCTGAATTGGGTATCACTACCTGATGACGACAAATAGGCCAGAAATGGCCACTGTAGTGTCCCATGTCTTTGTTGGTTATGTCCTTCTGCCAATTTATACTGTATAATTACACATTGCCTCAGTAGTTCAGCCCCTTTGAGAACTCGGTAACCCGTGGCGCGAAGAGGGAATCGATAAGCAATAGCTCGAGCTTCCGGTCTTCGTCTAGATGGAGACCGGAAGCTCTCTTACTGCAACTTACATCATCAACGCAGAAATTTAAGGCGAACCCTAAGAGCGTTATCTTGCAGAACCCTGGTCTTGAGCGTTTAGCGTTCCATCTTGATGATCATCTCTATTTTTTTCCGTTGAGAACAGTTCAGCCGTGCTTTTTTGCCACTTGGCAGTGGATGCTTGTACCAGCGTCGCTGGAGCACATTCCTTCCGGTAGGTATTGAGCTAACGTGCCCAGAGCGAAGTTTGACCACAAATATAAAATCCAGCATTTGGACAAAATATTATTCCATCACAATTACTGTGTTCTGATAGAACCCCCAAAAATTCTTGTAGGGACAAGCACACACAGGCAACTCATTGGATAGCCGAATTAATCGCTACTAGAAAACCCCAGACTAGACGAAGACAGGTTTGACCCTTTCAGCCAAATTTCGAGACTGTGTCCTTCTTAGCTACTTTTTTGCAATAAGATTCGAAAGAAAGGTTCACTGACAGTCAGCAAGATAGCACGCTGAGCCAATAGTTGAATGGAACCCAGTAAGTTTCGAATAGGTTTATTGTAGGCACTGCTAGTGTCCCTTGACGTTTCATCTGCAGTTTCGTGAAGGTGGAGATATCATCCCAAACCATGAGTACAGTCCAGAAACAGCGCAAAGAGTATGAAGGTAAGAAAGAAGAAAAAAAGGAAAAAATATTATAACATGAAAAGACGAACCTAGAGACTAGAGCCTGTAAGCGGTTTTGATATTTAAAACAAAAGTTAGTGGTTCACTAATAGATGCCTTCTAGGGTATAAGGTTTTCTATTATGCTGCATGCTGTTTAGGGGAGGTTCAGAAGCAACTCAAACATCGTGGAAGTCGCTGCCATGTGAGCAAATAAAAACGACTCCAACTGAAATATATTTAGTAGGCATTTAAGTAATTGTAAAAGCATACACTACCATTGGCTGATTACAATTCAGTTTAATTACTTGACAAGGAAATGCCAGTCGAGGATTTTGCTGAAGATGGTCCTCATGGTGTCGTCGGAGAATTCATTGATGACAATGGTGTTGAGATGGCGTAGGAAACGTGGTGTAACGATGTTCCGACCACCACCCGGAGGGCCCATAGCACCGACAA